TTCGGGACCGACCTGCATAGCAATCAGATCTGGAAAACACTCGTCATCAACAGCATTCAGCCATGGATTTGATTTAGAAAAATTGCTTACTCTCGAGGAGTTTGACGTCATTACAAGGAGTGGTATTGATCAATTTGTCAAACCAATTTTAGTGTCGACAGTTGATGGTGGCCCGGACGAGAACCCGAGATACCAAAAAGTGATTTAGGTTGCAGTCCACCACTTTCTTCAGCACGATTTCGATGCTTTATTCCTTGCTACCAACGCTCCTGGAAGAAGTGCATTTAATAGGGTCGAGAGAAAAATGGCGCCACTCAGTAAGGAACTTACTGGATTGATATTACCACATGACCACTACGGTAGTCATTTTAACGAAAGAGGTATTACCATCGACGCTGATTTAGTAGAAGAATATTTTTAAGTTTGCAGGAAACACTCTAGCGGAAATTTGGCCACAGTTGATTGTCGATAATTTTCCGACAGTGGCTGAATACATCGAGCCAACAGATTCTGAGCACCAGGAACAAAACCTCTTGTCCAGAGATCAGAAATGGTACGACGTCCACGTACGAACAAGCCACAACAAGTGATGTTTGAAACCAAGAAGCTTCTATTTTAGTGTGGTAACAGATATATTTATTCCTCCTCCTTTACCAGTTGTTCAAACAAGCGAAGGTCTTAAAATTCCAGAACGGACAACAGATGGAGCATCTAATAAATTCCCATCTCTGTTCGCAGCACAAAGTTTGAAAGTGGATGACATTCTTCCTTGCTCTTCAAATCCTTATCGTTCGATTCCATATGACTTGTACTGTCCGTCAATACAATCCGTGCTTAGCGACAGGATTTGCAAGAAATATCACACATACTTCGCGTCGTTAGTAACACACAAGCAGGAATCAATTGTTATTCCGCCCAAACGCATCAGGCCACAGAGAGTCTCTGCACGTCGGCAACGTGAACTAATGGTTGCAATCGCGAATGAAGAAAATGCTTGATTGGATAGACGAAGAAGAGCTTGATCTGAATGGAATGTCCATTCCACAGGATGAAGAGATCCATGCTCTCCCTATTTATTCCATGAAGGAGAATTTGCTTCTCCATGGGAGAATGGAGAAGCATACATTTTGAAAAATGTTTGAATGATTGTTATTAAACATTTTTATTCTAATGATTTTACCAGGGCTTTTCATTGTGGAATGAATGTGATTGTTATAATTGTACTCTCCATTTTGCTTCGTTCTACTACAAAGTTTAAAGTATTGTTTTTTATAGTTATTATTACTTTTTATATTTGATAATTATAAGATAATTTCAATATAATATTCTGAACATCTGCAGTTTTAGTTAGACGATGAATCGATGAATATTTTCAAGTGAATTTTATGCTAATTTTCAGCTTCCCAACGCCTTTTTAATAAATGTTTTCGCCTACAACAGGGGTCACCAAACTACGGCCCGCGGGCCGGATCCGGTCCGCGACGTCAGTCCATCGGGCCCGCCGACGGTACTTGAATTTGGTTGATAAAACGTATGGAACACGAGACGTTGTGATACAATTTAAATATGTTTAGAATACTAGATCTTCACGTGTGCGGAGACCTCCTGATTGCTATGTGCCTTAAATTTACTATTTTCAATTTTAAATTACTGTATCTAAATTTTCTTGTTTATTGTAATGTTTGCTTATTTCGCGCCATCCCAAGTCCTTCCCCAGCTCGTGGTAGCTCCGCCTACGCTCTGACGTTACCATGGTTGCCATGGCAACACACACAAACACGCATCTTTCCCGCCCCCAGATTTTCCGGCTGTCAACACAAGTCCGACGGTCCAGAAATATTTACTTCTTTTTGCCTGTCATCCATTTTATAGGTATGTAACAAGGATTTATTTGTTTGACAGTGATAGGTAATTGAACTACAAGTGTGATTAGAGGTCATAAAGTAACAAACGTAGAATAACAATGCCATAGAAGCCTCGTGTTATTACGAAAATATTATCCCTAGCTCACAAAAATTCCCCAGTCAAGGTGTTAATCGAGCTGGTCTCTAGGCTGCTTATTTAGGCCCACCCTATTTATATATTTTTTAAACCTTATTATGTGATATATTCTATTACCAAAGGTACCTATAAACTTTGTATGTACCTTTGGTGAGCCGCAGCTTCACCAGTGACCCCTGAATCCTCTGCTTTTCTTGTGTTTCAATAGGAAACAATTCAATGTCTTTTTCATTTTCAGATCCCGTTTTCTTCACCCTTCATTATGGCTACTAAGAAAAGTGGACGCCGGGTGTCCCGTTTTCAATGAAGAATGGGGAGTAAAGTACTTCTTTGTGGAAACAAAGGACCAGAAAGCTAGTTGCGTAACATGCAGCGAAAGTGTTGCCGTTTTGAAAGAGTACAATCTTCGGCGTCACTATGAAACAAAACATCTATCAACATATTCAAAGTTTTCTGAAAAGTTACACTCTGAGAAATATGAGTCCATGAAACGTGGTTTAGAAACTCAAAGAAATCTCTTCACGAAAAAGTTTGCTGAAAATGAATCTGTCACTCGTACAAGTTACAAAATAGTGCATAAGATGGCAGAACGAGGAAAACTGTTTACTGATGGCAACTTCATCAAAGAGTGTATGATGGAAGCAGCAAATGACCTGTGTCCTGAGAAAGCCGATTTGTTTGGAAGTGTCAGCCTTTCGGCAAGTTCAGTTGTGCGAAAAACAAAAGAACTTGGAGAGAACATAGTGCTACAGATACGCGAGAGAGCTAGGAACTTATTGTGATATCCTCTGGCGCTGGATGAATCTACTGATCTCTCGAGTACGTCACAACTTCTCGTGTTCATTCGTGGTGTCAATTTGGACTTTCAGATAACGGAAGAATTGGCATCCCTTTGCAGCATGCATGGAACAACTGGAAAAGGCATATTCATGGAAGTGCAAAAAACTTTGCAAGACGATAACCTTCAGTGGAATCAGCTTCGAGGTGTTACAGTTGATGGAGGAAAAAACATGGCTGGAGTGAGGAAGGGTCTGGTGGGGCAGATCAGGACTCAGTTGGAAGATTTGCAAATTCCGGGCGTTCTGTTCATACATTGCATCACACATCAGCAAGAACTCTGTGGGAAAGACTTAGATATTTATTGTGTACTGAAACCAGTCGTTTCTGCTGTAAACTTCATTCGGGGACATGCACTCCATCACCGTCAGTTCCAGGCTTTTCTTGAAGAAATGGATTCTGATTTCTGTAACTTGCCTTATCACACAACAGTGAGGTGGCTCAGCTGCGGTAAAGTCCTGTTTCGTTTTTACAAGCTCCGATACGAAATAGATGTTTTTATCACTGAAAAAGATAGAGCTGATCCACAGCTGTCAGATCCTACCTGGCTGTCAAAGTTGCCATTTTTGGTCGACATCACATCCCACGTGAATGAACTGAACTTGAAACTTTAGGGAAAGGATAACCTCGTCTGTGATCTCTACAGAATCATCAAAGGATTTCGGAGAAAGCTGTCATTGTTTGAAGCACAACTGGAAGGAGAACACTTCTCTCATTTTCACTGTTTCAAAGAGTTTTGCGCTACAATCGCTGAAGTTGTCAACCTCGATTTTCCGAAAAAGATTATTCGTGACTTGAAGAAGCATTTTTTGAAGAGATTTTCAGATCTTGACAGAATCGAGAGTGACATTCTTCTGTTCCAGAATCCGTTTGATTGTAACCTTGGTGATGTGCCAGTTCAACTACAGTTGGAGCTCATTGATTTGCAAGCAAATGACTTGTTGAAAGAGAAGCAAAGAGAAGGAAAACTTGTTGAATTTTACCGCTGCTTACCTGATGTTGATTTTCCGAAACTGAAGAAATTTGCCGCTGGTATGGCATCAATGTTTGGAACAACTTATGTCTGTGAGCAAACATTTTCAAAAATGAAATATGTGAAGTCAACACATCGAACGAGATTGACTGATGAACATTTGAAAGCAATTCTCTTGATTGGATGCAGCAATTCCAAATCAAACATTGATGATATCTTGAAAGCCAAACGTCAGTTTCACAAATCTCACTAACCTTTTTTGCTGCTTAGTTTGTGAGATTCGGATATGTGCACACTAGGTCTGATGTAACTATCTTTTTGCTAACGTCGCCTTCTTTGATAACTTTTTAGTAAATAAATGTTGGTTGTCTTTGTTTTTTGTGCATTGCACGCCACTCACCCATGATTAACATGGAATGCTAAACTTAGTTGTTCGTCTTTTTTCCCCGAGCTTTCGTTCTGGCTTGCAAGTATTGAACAGAATGATTATGCGGCCCACGCTCGTCATTCTTTCAGTTATCCGGCCCACTGTGAAAAAAGTTTGGTGACCCCTGGCCTACAACATCAGAGTGCAGCGCCACATTAAATACACACTTCAATGACAATAGTTGAAAGCGCTTTGAAGCATGTTTTATTTTCAAAATGGAAATATGGTTTGGGGGGGGGGGGGGCAGAGCTTTGTGACGTCATATTTAAGGGGGGGTCTGACTTTTTGTAACGCCGTGTGACGAGGGGCCAAAATCGCGTGACGTCATTTATGGACGGCCCCTTTCCTGCAGTACCTATATTTAAATACACGATCTAAAAATAATTTACAATCTAGATTTGATAATAATTTACACCCCTCTGTCACTCATCGTGTTTCTCAGTGTGGATTTGTGAACACACTTTGTAAACAGTACTTAAAAAGTACGCGTTTTCAATGCGCTGTTCATATTGTAACAAGCGTTTATACCAGGGGTGTCCAAGCTTTTTTTTCCCGAGGGCCACATACAGAAAATATACGATGGACTGGGCCACTCACTTGACGTGAGGTATACTGCCTCACTTCTCATGCACTAATATTGGCAAAATCAATCAAATGCAGGTAAATTACGTTTGATAATTGAACATGTTTGAAGAAAAAAAGTCTCCATCATAGCTCTCCATTAGTAGATTTCATTTTGTTTTTTTATAAAAAGGTTGGCAGGTCATTCTCTCAGTGACAGCCTCAGATTGGTTCTTAGGGTGCTGATCCCCCTTCATTGTCCTGTATGAAGGGAGAGACAAGAAGAGAAATAGGGGATGTGGATATTTCAAGCTTATTACACAAATGAATTCTTGGGCTTGTTAACACGTCAACTAACGTTTGTTAAAAAAATTGTCATCAACTTTAATTGACTGAATTTATTAAGTAATTGGGCTTATTAACAAATGAAAACTGTGTGTATATTTTTTAACTCACCTGTAATGGGAAGAATGTTGCACTCAGTGGGAGCAATGATGCTGCGCTTTGGTCTGAAGGATAGCTGGCAGGTCAGGAGTAAGTTTGGTGGTTGAGATGCGAAGGACGTCACGGAGATGGCTGTCGGTCGTTCTGGTTCTCAGTCTGCTTTTGTTCAGCGTTACTAGAGAGAATGTCTGCTCACAGATGCATGTTGAGCCGAAGAGACTTATCATTCGTTTTGCGTGGCGTCTCATCAGAGGAAACTTGGCCTTTTCCAAGCTCCGGTAGAAGTCAGGTAGAGAGAGAAGCTGATGCTGATTCTTCCTAGAATGATCACACTGAATTTCGATCAGTTCTAATTGCAGACTCTCCTCCACTTCTTCTGCCTCCATTGAAAATGGAGCCGCAAACAGTGTGATTTCCTTCTCAATGACAGAAAAATCTTGAAAGTGCTGACTGAATTTTGTCATGAGAGATGTGATCACAGACACATATTCTCCCATTTTTGCAGAGAGCTTGGCATTTGGAAATGCGCATTTGATTTTGGTCAGCGTGGGGAAGTGCGCTATATTGAAGTTGCGCAGTTGTGACTCGAAGAGACGGAGCTTCGCACGGAATGCTTTCGTGTGCGCATACAGCTGTGGTACCAGCTGCTCTTTGCTTTATAGTCTCTTGTTCAGGGTGTTGAGATGATCAGTGAGATCAACTAAAAAAGCCAGGTCTGCCAACCATAAAGGGTCACTGATCTCATGGAGAGGTCTGCCCTTTTCTTTCAAAAACTTGTCGATATTTGATCTCAGGGAATAAAACCACTGCAGCACGGAGCCGCGACTGAGTCAGAAGCACTTCAGAATGATAGAGAAGGTCCCCATATTCAGCATCGACATCAGAGAGGAACGCTTGAAATTATCTGTGGTAAAGCCCTCGTGGCCGAATTATGTTGACAGTTTTCACAACTGTGTTCATCACATCGCCAAGCTGGATTATCTTGGCACAGAGGGCTTCTTGGTGGATGACACAGTGCATTTTGACAGCCTCACCTCCGCTCTCCTGCACCTTGGCACTCACCATAGAGGCCATTCCTTTGCGCTCGCCTGTCATTGCTGGAGCCCCATCCGTTGTAATTTCACACAGCTTGTCCCATTTAAGTCCAGCCTGGTCAATTGCATCTGACACAGCTTCAAACATGTCCTTCCCAGTTGTTGTCCCCTTTAGACTCCGAAGATCGAGCAGTTCCTCCGTAATGCAAAAATGATCATCAACTCCCCGCAAAAAAATTAACAGCGGTGCAGTGTCCATGGCATCTGTGCTCTCATCACATGCAATCGAGTAAAAATCGAAAGCACAAGCTTTATCTGACACTTGCTGTTTTAAGTTAGCCGACAAGTCTTCAATTCGCCGCACAACCGTATTTCTGGACATACTAACATCGTTGAAATCCTGCATTTTCTCCGGGCACATTATTCCCACGACTTTAGTGAGACACTGTTTGATGAAGTCACCGTCTGAGAAAGGTTTTCCGTGTAGGACAATGAGTTGAGCTACTTCATAACTGCTTATTGTTGCATTTTCTTGAGCTTTGTGTGCACGGAAAAAAACCTGCTGCTGCGTTAGCAGGCTAGCTGCCATTTGCTTTACCTTCTCTCTCCGCTCGGCGCCAGTGTAGGACGTGAAGGTCTGCTGTTTCGTTTCATAATGCCGTCGTACATTGTACTCTTTCATCACGGCAACACTCTCATTACAAATCACACAAACACACTTCCCCTTGGTTTCTATGAAAAAATATTCATTTTTTCCACCGAGTCTGAAATTTTCTGCACTCGCTTGCAATCTTGCGTCTCTTCGGTTCCGGCATTTCTGGTGACCCTGAGCATTTTTTTCTTCGATTGCTTGCTTTGTGGAGACGCTGCCGTGTTCAAGACAATAGCGCCACCTAGTTTTTAAACTAAGAAGTGTAATATAGTGGGCCATAGTCCATTATATTTTTAGACTTTGATACGGGCCAATTAAAAATGGATGGCGGGCCGCAGTTGGCCCGAGGGCCGTAGTTTGGACACCCCTGGTTTATACCAATGTTACTCGACAGAGTAGTGGGTCGCCGCTCCTCTTATCCGCATTGATTTGAGCGTTGTGGGGACTATGGCTTAATGCCAAAAAAATCCTGGCTGCAGATATTGGTAGGTCACAAATAATAATGAAGATAAGAGAGTATTCTTTGTTTTTTTCGGTAAAGTCATGTAGAAATAATAAAATAAAATTACATAATAGCATACGACGTTTCGATTGCAACGCAAGCAATCATCATCAGGTATAGCTCATCAGGTATATACTTTTATTTATTATTATTTCTTATTTTTACGTGACTTTACAAAAAAAACAAATAATAATTCCTGCAGTCACGAAAGCACCAAATCAAGTTGATAAGAGAGTAGTTTCACTGTATTATGCATACTGTTATGACAGATAAAGGACTTAAGTCGTGTAGGCAGTTTGAGCTGCTTTGGATACGACGTATGATCCTGCCCATACCCGAGCATGGAGTGCATTCGCTTGATTGTTTTTTTTAAAGCAATCACGCTTGTTCAGCTCTTCAGCACATTCGTCCTCGCTGCGCTTGGACGCCAGGTGGGGGTGGGTCGCAGCGTTTATGTGCGTGGTGGGACGGAGTCGCCCAAAGTAAATCAATTAATTCCGATTTTGACTTCCGTTTATTCGGGACCCCGCGGTCCCGCCATTTACTACTATATTTACCCAAGAGTGTTAGTGTGTAAAGCGCGTGACGTCACTCCACGTCGACCAGTCCCTCTCATTAATAATCATGAACAGGTGACTTCCTCCAAATGGCCACCCCCCCCCATCGTTAATAATATTTAGTGGGTGACGTCACTCACATGGGGGGCGAGGCGCCTCCTCCCCCGTCCTCAGCGTCAATTTATAACCCTCACTACAACGGCAGAACCCTCACGTCACGCGAACCCTCACGTCACGCTATTGAAACATCGAAATAAAAGGGACGTCATGATGAACAAGGGATTATAACCTTTAAATGAAATAAGTCTGTGTCACCGCGGCCTTACAAATTGTACACGAATGGATGCAATGAATATCACGTCGCGGTCTGCTTTTCGCTTGCAAGTTTCAGATTTACTGCAATACACCCGTCCTTGGATGGACCGGGTAGTAAAGCTAGTACAATAAACATTAATTTGATAAACGAGCGAGGTCTTGCAATACGAGTAGTACGTATACGCGTTGTCTGCCGAGCGTCACGTGATCACAACTGATATACGAGTGTTTTGATATACGAGTGCTTTGGATTACAAACATGTTTCCGGAACGAATTATGCTCGCAATCCAAGGGTTTACTGTATATAAAAAAATATTAGGTGGTGATGCTGCTGTTGCGTTAGCAGTGGTGCATAAAGCACGAAAAATACAAATTTCAACATGTTCAATAAACACTGGCCTCAGATGGAACCAAAAATATATATAGCTGGCGACGTTTCGTGTCATACTCCTTTTTAAAGCAATCACGATATAGAATATACATTAACGGTAGTAAAACAGTGATATATTTGTTGATGAATTAAAGAGGCATGCAAAACCCTAACATAGACACTACACGTCATGGGTGGTCACCCACCACCACCAACAACATATGCAATTCGCCACTCAGTAGCGGTGACATCACCACGGCGCCTGTGCAAGGCTAGGTGCACTTTTTGAGACCACCCACCAACACCGCACACTTCACGCGCCGACCACCAGGTGGCTCTGCATCACCTCCCACCGCAAATCCGCGAGGAGTAACAGCAGATCGGCCGTCTCCTCCCTACCCCCACCTGCCCGACACATCCACGGTGGGCCCCGCTCACTGGCTGGCCCGGACTGGCCACAGGGCCCTGGCGACCACAAGGGCCATCTTATATTCTTGGTTCTTTCGGTAAAGTCACGTTGAAGGGAAACAATAAAATAATAAAATATATAAAACAATAAAATTCTCATTTTATTATTTTATTGTTTCCCTTCAACGTGACTTTAACGAAAGAACCAAGAATATGAATCACTGCAGTCACGAAAGCTTTAAATCAAAATTTAAGGGCCATCTTGTCAGAGATGGCCACGGCCACCAGGTAGCGGGAAAAATACTCCACGAGTGTCTACCGGTTTCCCCGGTTTGATTGTAGGAACGGGCCTTGAAGATCAACCACCGCCTGTTGGTTGGCCCGGCTGATACGGAACGGCCCCAGGGGTACCTAGTACCGCGATGGCCGGTGGCCACTCTGCTGACATGCACAGTAGCCCTGTACTCAGGCGGCTAAGTCCTGGGTCAATTTAGGTCTCTCGAGTGCGCCGCTCCCCGTCATGGCCCCCGAGTGGGTTGTCGTGCACCAACCCCAGCAGCTGGGGTTGCACCTGTACGGGGACACACACGTATACTGGCTCCCCAGCCTCGGTGAGTTCCCGTACCACCTGAATCACCATGTACAACCTGAGATGCATCCCGCTCAAGGGTCCTGGTATGGTGGCCTCCTTTCCCTGGAGGGCCCTCTCGTCGGCCACTAGGTCCGGGACCGGCTGCTGCATCCATTACAATTGTCTGTTATCCAGGCCGGGGAAAGCGCAGCCAATGTCCTCATGGATCCATCCGGGGTGGCCAGAGGGCTCTGCCGGGGCTGTGGGTGTGAAGTCAGTACAGCCAGGGGCACCCCCCGGGGCTGTGGCCCCCGATGCGGTGTATTCTGCCGCACACACGGTGCTCTCGCTTGGCCTCTGGGGAGGGTGGGGGGTTAGTTTCCGGTCCTCCCAGGGGGTCGCCGATTGCTGGCAGCACCCCCTCCTGAAACATAGACAGGCCTCCTCGGCCGGTGTCTCGGGGCACACTGCAGGCCGCCTTGACAGCGTGTCGGCGTTCGCGTGTGTCTGCCTCGGCACCATACTCAATCATAATATATCGTTTGATCACCACGTTCAAAATATAGTTAGGTTATGCAATTTTCATATCAGGGCTCTACGACACATTCAACTACTATTGAGTAGTGATATAGCCAACACGGTGGCGTTTTGTATAGTATCGACAAGGCTGGATTATTGCAAATCACTACTCTATGGGACGTCTGGCATAAACATTACCAAGCTGCAACGTGTACAACAGTCTTTGGCACATGTTATGACAGGCACTGCAAGATCCGACCATGGCCATTCAGTGCTTGCTGAGCTGCATTGGCTTCTGGTTGCCGAACGAATACATTATAAGGTCGCACTTATTACACACTAAGTAATTGCCACAAATGAACCACAATACCTTGCTGATCTCGTTAAGATTATTAGCATATTTAACATGGTTGATCAATAGGGAGCCATCCCTGTACCAGATGGAGATTTCTCCAATACCACCATGGAAAGCTTCTCGAACTACGTGATTGAAAAAATATGTTAAATAATGTATGTGCCAGAGGACATCCATGTCTCACCCCAAGCTGAACAGGAAATGGATCTGACTCCTGGCCATGTAGCTTTACCCGGGCCTGCCCACCATCATGAAGGTTTTTTAAAATAAAGTCAGGGACTCCGAAATCACGAAAAATAACGCAGAGCCCATGCTTATTGAAGGTATCATAGGCCTTGACCAGGTTAATAAATCAAAGATGTTGACAATTTCTATACTTCTACTGTACCAGATATACAAAATATGGCATCTGTGCACAACCCCCCTGGCCTGAAACATCATTGGGACTTAGCAAGCTTCTTCTCAGCGTGCCTGGCAAGGTGAAGTTCAATATTTTTTGCCAGGACCTTTCCGGGCACATTGAGCAGAGAGATTGCCCCTGTAATTGTTAGAGTCTGTGTGGTTCTCCTTTTTAAAGAGGGGAACCACCAGGACATTCTTCTAATCCTGTGGAATGCGTCCAGTGGTCCAGGTTGTTATTATGATATCATACAGTATAGGGCAGTCTGCTTGGGAGAGCATTGCTCTTCTGCCCTCCATTGTTGCTGGAGGGCGACTGCCTCCAACTGCTCAGTAGCATCCTTCATGAGCCTCCTCCACAAAGGCCGATCTTGATACCGCTGGTATCAGTCATTGGCAGGTCCACTCAGCTATATTTCTTCTCATACCATATAATTCAATATCTTCTTTAGCCCGTGCCACACCTATTTTGCCCATTCTACTGTACAAGATATACAAAATATGGCATCTGTGCACAACCCCCCTGGCCTGAAACCTCATAGGGGCTCAGCAAGCTTCTTCTCAGTGTGCTTGGCAAGGTGATGTTCAATATTTTTTGCCAGGACCTTTCCGGGCACACTGAGCAGAGAGATTGCCCCTGTAATTGTTAGAGTCTGTGTGGTTCTTTTTAAATAGGGGAGCCACCAGGGCATTCTTCTAATCTTGTGGAATGCATCCAGTGGTCCAGGTTGTTATGATATCATATAGGGCAGTCTGATTGGGAGATCATTGCTCTTCTGCCCTCCATTGTTGCTGGAGGGCGACTGCCTCCAACTGCTGAGTAGCATTCTTTATGTGCTTCCTCCATAAAGGCCGATCTTGATACCGCTGGTATCAGTCATTGGCAAGTCCACTCCGCTCTATTTCTTCTCGTACCATATAATTTCATCTCTTCTCTAGCCCGTGCCACACCAATTTTGCCCATCCTATCCGGCTGAACAAAATATGTTTGAGCATGCGGTGGCTGGGCATATGGGCTACATGGCCCAACCAATGTAGCCTCGCCTGCCGGAGTAGCTCACCGATGGGACTGTGTCCAGATCTTTCACGGATTTGTGAGCACCTTACACAATCCAGCCTGATTAAACCCAGGATGGATCATAGGCAGGTCATCCTGAAGGTTTCTGACCAGCAAAGATGTTCCATTCGTGGGGTCCACGTTTCGCAAGCATAGAGAAGGGAGGGCATGACCGTGGAAGAGAAGACCCAAAGCTTCATGTGGAGCGATAGACCAGGTATCTTCCGCAAAACGTTACGCAGCCAATGAAAAGATGATGCCGCTCGATTGATTCGGAGTAAGACCTCTGCTGTCAAACCATAGCTGGTCTTGA